TACATAGGATCCTTTAGTATAGTCCAAGCTAAGATGGGAAATGAACTACTCATGTGGTAAGAGAAAGGGATCCTCCAATGAGGCTGCCATGTATAAGGCATGTGATATTATCAGGTTTTTCTTTTCTTTTTTTTAAATGTCTGAGACTGTCTCTAACCTGTTATAGGAGTCAGCAAATTTTGTCCTATAAAAGGCTTCATAGTAAATATAGGCTTTGTGGGCCAATAGGTAAAATTGAGGGTATTATATAGGTCGTTATATAACGAGAGACAGCTAATTTACATATATTCTTTTGATGAAATTCAAAATATAATAGCCAATAAACACTTATTAAGCTCCTACTACAAGCCAGGCACAGTGCTAAGCCCTAGGGATATAAGAAGACAAAAGAGTTCCTGCCCTCAGGGAGCTCACCTTCTAATGGGGACAATAACAAATACAAGCAAGCTGTACATAGGATGTTCTGTGGAGGGAAGGCACTAGAATTAAGAGAAGATGGGATTTTAGATGGGTATGAAAGAAAGTCAGGGAAAATAGGTGGTAGAAAAGAGGAGGGAGAGCACTCCAGGCATGGGGGAGAGGTAAAATGCCCAAAGCCAAGAGATGAAGGGTCTTGTTTGTGTCTGGATGGGGAGTAAGGTAGGAGGGGACTACGTTTTGAAGGACTTTGAATGCCAAACAAAGTATTTTGTATTTGATCCTGGAGGGGATAGGGAACTATTGAAGATTATTAGGGGGTGGAGTGGATAAGAGTGGAGTGATATGGATGGATCTGTGCTTTAGGAAAATCACTTTGGAGGTTAAAGAATGAATTGGAGTGAGGAAAGACTTGAGGCAGGTAGACCCACCAATAGGCTATATTGCAGGAATCCAGGTATGAGGTGATGAGGGCCTTCACTAGAATAGTGACAGTGTCAGAGGAGGGAAGGGAGCTCATTAGAGAGATGTTACACAAAGGAAAAATTGACAGGCCTTGGCAACAGATTGGATAAGGGGGGTGGAAGATCATAAGGAGTTGTGGATGACATCTAAGTTGCAAGTCTGAAGGCCTGGGAGGAGGAGGATGTTGTCTACATTAATAGGGAAAGTTGGAGGTGAGGAGGGTTTAGGAAACAAGATTAGTTCAGTTTTGGACATGGGTAATAAAAATTGAGTACAATTTTTTTGTAATATGCCTCTATTAATGAGAAGAATGGAATTCCTTTTTTGGGGAGTGAGATGAGATAACATTTAATTTAATTGGAGTTCAGCATTCCCTTTCATCAAAATTAATTGCAAATGTTCATCTGTTAATGCTGATTCACAATCAAATTTCATTTATTTCATCTTGAAAATGTCTTTCCATACTAAATACTAATATTAATCCACAGGCATATGATTTTGATTGAGTATATTCATCACTTGGAAGGTATTTATAGAATTTTATTAGGTTCTTTATTAGATATAGAATTTTATTATGTAATTACATTACGGAGTAATCACTTCAATTGAAGGTTAGGTGGAAGGTCCTCAATTGTTTAGTTAAATGGATTTTAAAATATGGAAATTTCTTTTGCAATTGCATTGGAGTCTGAAAAGCACTGTTAGAACTGTAGACTGAGCTAGGGATAATATAACTGCTGCAAACTTGTGTGGGAATAGAGTTCTCACTTGTTTTAAGTTTTGGCAGCACAGAAAGTACATAAAAAACTTGACATTACTTGTGATTCAAACAATATCAATTGTCATTAAATTGACTTTACAACAATATAAGTTTCACCTGCAAGCTCTATTTTGCTTTGTAATTTTAGGTTGAATTCATTAATAAGCTTTATAAAGTCTGCAGCAAAAGCTAATTTCCAAAGCCATTCAGTGTTCAATAATAGTGGTTGAGGGCAGTCATCATACAATGATATGTATAGTACTTGAGACATTGTTATATAGTAATTGTCACTGCAATTTGTAGTACACTGAGCAGTGCAGAGCAGTGAAATCACCATCATCTCTTTTCTAACTGCTCAGTTCTGCAGTTGTACAATGAAAGCAGCCACAGACAATTTGTCAACAAATGAGGGTGGCTGTGTTCCAATACATCTTAATTTTAAAATGTAAAAACTATTCTTAACTCACAAGCTATACAGAAAAAGGCAGTAAGCTAGGTTTGGCTTGTAGCCATAGTTTGCTGACTCCTGACCTCTAATATAATCAATGGAAATGGAATACGGAAAAGAATGGCAAATTATTAACAGTTATGTGAAAGAATCCTCCAAATCACTGAAAAGAGAAACAACCCTGACGTTTCAACCTCACACCCAGCAAATTTGCAAAGATGCCAAAAGATGGCAATAGTTGATGTAGGAAGGCTTATGGGAAGATGGGCACACTAGTATATTTTTGTGAATTGGTATAAACATTTTGGAAAGCAATTTAGAATTGTGTAAACAAAGTGATAAAATGTCCATATCTTTTTGAGTCAGAGATTCTTTTACTAGGCTTATACCTCAAGATGGCCACTGATAAAAAAGCCCCTATATACACCAAAACATGTATCCAGCACTTTTTATGATAAAAAAAATAAAGGTTTCGAAACAAAGTAAGTAAATGCACATTGTTTAGGGAATGGCTGTAGGAACTGTGGTATCTGAATGTAATGGAATGTCACAATGCTGTAAGAAATGATGAATGTAATAAATACAGAGAAGCATGTTAAGAGCTATATGAAATGATGAAGAATAAAGTAAGCAGAACCAAGGAAACAACATACACAATTCTACACAATGTAAGTAGAAAGAACAATCACCAAAAGAAATCAAAAGTCAGTGTTGCAAAGTTATAAAGAATAAACATGGCTCAAAAGAAGAGATAAAAGAAGATAGTTGTACTCCTTTGCAGAAGTGGGACATTCACAAGTGTTGTACACTGCACATATTTTCAGACTTTTTTGATGTATTGATCAATCATGCTGACTTTTTCTATTTTTCTTTTTGTCTTCAAAAATACTATTTGTTCAGCCCTGGATTCAGGAAGACCTGGGTTCAAATCTGGCCTCAGACACTTGACATTTACTAGCTGTGTGACCCTGGGAAAGTCACTTCACCTCATTGCCTTGCAAAAAAAAATAAAGTACTATTTGTTATATGGGATGGCTCTCAGAGAGGAGACTGGGAAGAGACACTGGGGGAAATTACGGTGCAGAACACATGAATAAAAAGTTGTTTTTAAAAAGAACTGAAATAAAGCATGCAAATGAAAATGTAACATGATATCTTAAATAAGGAAACAAAGGTAGGCATAGTGAGAAAGCGTGCTAGACCTTGAATCAAGACGATCTGACATACCTAATAGTTGTATGACTTTGGGCAAATCATTTAACCTCTCTAAACTGCCAATTCTTATCTGATAAAATGTGGATAGTAATACCTATTCGATGTAGTTTATTGTGAAGCTAAAATGAGCGTACATATAGCTTAGAATGGGAGTTGATTGAACCAACAAAACAATTTCCTCCCCCAAGGTGGGAGAGATGCCCTGATACTGTTTATCAAAAATACCTCTCCTCAATCAGAAAATCAAAGGCATAGACTAGGTATGGAAAAGTCCTTAATTTGGAAGGAATGAAAGCCGTTGGATTAAATGAAGTGATGCTACGCAGGAAGTGTGTTGGAATTATTTGAAGAGACTCAAGCATACCCTGTGGGGTTTAGATAAAATTCCAAGCAAGTTTGAAACTGGAATTTCAATTAACCCTACCTTTCACAATTGGTCACAGGATGACCTAGTGAACTTTGAAAAATGGCAAGATTTTTCATGGATATCCTAGCAATGTCCCCAGATTCATCTGTGTTGGGAGCCAAGGACAAACTAGAAAACCTGAGGAAAAGCAGCTTCATTACTCTATAAGGAGCCAAGCAAATAAGTATACCATACCTAAAGAGAACCTCACAAGGACCCCACAATGGGAGAAAAGGACTTCCAATTACCAGGAGTTCCCCTACAATGCCATAGCCCCTCATCTTGAGGCCTCAGTCCAGCTCCAGAATTGACACATTGGGAGTACCCATTGCCTTTGTGTCCTCACCCTTTTGTTGAATGGCTTCTTCCAGAGCCTCCATTCAAGGAGGGCCTCTGGCCAGCCGTGTCTCATTTCTCTCCAGACTACACTTTGGACTCTAGCATGGCCTAGCTGCTGTGGTCCTAGCCCCTGGTACTTTTGCCACCCTTTTCTCAGTTTCCTATGTGTGTTGTCTTCTCCCATTCCAATGTAAGCTCAAGGGTATGGACTGTATTTCTATTTGTATTCACAGTGTAGCCACAGTACATGACACATAATAAGAATTAATGCTTGTTGACTGAATGATGGGAGCTGTGTTTCATTCCTTTGCTACATATGCTCTCTAAGCTTGAGCCCACTTTGCCTTGGACACTATGTATTTGTGGGAGAGTGTTTCCCTGGTTTGGGGGATAGTTATACTAACTATTCTTACCAAGCTACTTTAGTAAATGTGTATTTGTAAAAGCTAAAGGAAATATGACTAGCTAATTGATAGGAACCGTTAATGAGGGAGCATGCTAGTTGACCTTCATAAGCAGCAGTACAAGAGAAACCTTAAATTCCTCAGAGTTACCCCTAAAACCCCCTAAAAGGAGAAGCAACTAGTCACCTTCTTGGGATTCAACCTGCCACTGTTAGTGGGGGGTTGGAAGAGTGAACCCAGAGACTATTCTATATTTATAAATAGCTTTTAAAATCTCATTGTGCTACAACGATCCAAGACAACTCTGAAGGACATGTGAAAAATGCCATCCATCCCCAGAGAAAGAACTGATGATGTCTGAATACAGATTGAAGCATACTGGTTTTTTTACTTCATTTTTCTTGAGTTTTTTTTCTCTATGTTTTCTTTCACAACATAACTATTATGGACATGTTTTGCATGCTACACATGTATAACCTATATGGAATTGCTTGCCTTCTCAATGGGGATGGGGGGTGGGGAGAGAGCAAGGGAGAGAATTTGGAACTCAAAGTTTTATAAACATGTTAAAAATTATTTTTACATGTAACTGGGGAAAAATAAATTTTAAAAAAATCTCATTGTGCTTTAGAAATGTCAACTACTATTATTTTGTTAGTGAACATAGTTTTTTAAAATTCTTATTGACATCTTTTGTTTTTGTTACTCTCATTTACAGATATTTGTTAACCTCTTGTCTAACAATATAACACAATTTTAAAGACTAAGAAGAAAAAGAAATAGTTCAACAAAACTAATCAGCTTCATGTGAGAAGATATGCTATACACTCATAGTCCTTCACCTCTGTAAAGAAAGGGTGGTACATTTTCTCATGTCTTCTCTGGGTCCAAGCTTTGTCATAATTACATAGTTTGGTTTCAAGGTTTATTTCTATTTAAATTATAGTAATTGTGAATCTTGTCATACTGGCTCTGTTTTCTTTCCTGTACATCAGTTCTGATAAATCTTCCCATGCTTCTCTGATTTCTTCATAGTCATTGTTTCTTATGGCTCAGTAAAATATTCCATTTTATTCATATGTTCTCATTCCTTTAGTGGTTCCTCAGTTGTTGGGCATCTAGTTGATTTCTTGTTCTTTGCTATAAAAAAGTGATACTGTGAATATTTTGGTATATGTGAGACCTCCCCCCACCCAAAAAAAAATCTTTAATCTTCTGGATGTTTACATTTAGACACTTTTAAACATAATTCCAAATTTCTTCCTGGAAGGATCAACACAATTTTCTTAAGACACACTTACAATATTACTTTAAAACATAGGTTCAAAGATTTAGAAGTGGAAGGAGCCACAGAAGCCATAGATTCCACCCCTTTCATTTTACAAATGAAGAAACTGATATACAGACAGGTTAAGTGACTTAGGATCATACAGATAAGTATCTGATGTAGAATTTTAACTCACTTCTTTCTAATTAAAAGTCTAGTGACAACAATTCTTTCTTTCTCCCTTCAGCCCCCTTAGGCAGTCAGGGTTAACTTGCCCAGGGTCACACAGCTAGTAAGTGTCAAGTGTCTGAGGCTGGATTTGAACTCAGGTCCTCCTGACTCCCAGGCCAGAGCTCTATCCACTGCACCACCTAGCTGCCCCCCAATGACAACAATTCTCAAAGTATAGCCCAGTGATGCCTGGGGATCCTTAAGACCCTTTTATGGGATCTATGTGGCCATAAGTATTTTCATAATTTTAATTTTAACTTAATACAGAAAATACTGATAGACACAACCCACTTCAACAAAAGCTCTTTGGGAAGTCCTCAATAATTTTTAAGAGTGTGAAGGGGTCCTGAGACCAAAAAAGTTTGAGGACCACTGCATTGCCACACAAATCATGTAGGCAAATCAAGTAGCAATCATATTGACCCACCTTAAATATGGTTAATGTATAATTGACATATGGTATTTAAATAATGTTTCTAAATTGTTTTAAAGCATATCTGAAGATGTTTCTAAAAAATCTGAAGTTTATTAAACTTTCTCTATGAAATCTTTCTTACCCTATTAAATACCCTAGAAACTCTTATCTAAAAGGTTACTAAGGCGAATTTATAACATTTCTAAACTAATTTGGTCTCACTCGGAATACCGAAATTCTGCTCTGGTATACAGATGAGAAAGCATTCTAAGGTTTTAAGTGGATACTGAAAGAACTAGGAAAGAACTAGGGTGCTTCCTAATATGTGAGGCCTAGCCCAGAACCCAGTGCTCCAGATACAGTCTAATAAAGGTTGATAGTAGAAGCTGTCCTAGTCAGGCATCTAGAGCATTGCATATGGTTCTAGATACTGTATCTTAGGAAAAACACTGATAAGCTGGAGAATATCCAGAAGAATGGTAGAATCACATGTTTATGTCACATGAGGATAGATTGGAGGAATTTAGCATATTTATCCCTGAGACGGGAAGATGGGGAGACTTGATAACTGTCTTGAAGTACTCAAAACACTGTGGAAGAAGAACTAGATTTCTTTTGTTTGCCCCATATCATCAGGACTAGGTGCAATGGTAGACCTTGCAAAGAGATGAATATAGATTTGGTGTCAGGAAAAACTTCCTGATAATTAGAATTATCTAAAAATTGGAATGAGCTGCCTCAGGAGGTAGTAGGTTCCCCTTCATTCAAAGACTTCACACAATAGCTAGGTAATCATTTGTTGGATATGTTATGTTGGGGATTAATTTTCTGGTATGAGTTGGATTAAATAGCTGATAAGATCCTTTCCAAGTCTGAAATTCTGTGATTCTGCTACAGTGTTCCCCTATCCTCCATGTTGAAACCAGTGACAATTCTCAGAAGAAATTCTGAAAAAATGTATACAAATTATGTCTATACATGTGTTCTAACACATATACATATGTGTGTTTTTCAGCATTTAACTAGACAAAAAGTTCTATAAATTAATGATTCAGATAGATTCTCAGTACAGATCTTCACTGTACAACTTCTTCATTGCAGCATTGATATCCTTCTGCTTTTGTTCAGTCTTTCAGTCATGTCCATCTCTTTGTGACCCCATGGACCATAGCATGTCAGGCTCTTTTATCCTCCACTGTCTCTCTTAGTCTGTCCAAGTTCATGTTCATTGTTTCCATGATACTATCTATCCATCTCATCCTCTGCTGTCCCCTTTTCCTTTTGTCTTCAATCTTCCAACATTGGGGTCTTTTGCAATGAGTATTATCTTCCCATTATGTGGCTAAAGGATTTAAGCTTCAGTGTCAGTATTTGACCTTTAAGGGAATGGCCTGAATTAATTTCTTTAGTAAGTATTGACTGATTTGACCTCCTTACTGTCATCTTCATTATAATAATTAGAGGAAGGAGATGAACATTCTGGAGATGGCTCAGGTTATCCATTTCCACTGGTTTGGTTTAGATTTTGGTTTGGTTGGTTTTTTTTGGGGGGAATTTATATTTCTTCATGAGGATTTCACAGTGGTATTTTGAAAGCATAAGTCATTGATGTTTTATTATCGTATGTTTCTGGAGGGACAAAACTGAAGTAAGAAGAGGGAGACTATGGGGGCAGCTAGGTGGCGCAGTGGATAGAGCACCGGCCCTGAAGTCAGGAGGACCTAAGTTCAAATACGGCCTCAGACCAAACACTTGACACTAGCTGTGTGACCCTGGGCAAGTCACTTAACCCAATTGCCTAAAAGTAAAAAAAAAAAAAAGGGAGACTACTTGAGGCAATATTAAAAAATTCTTAGCTAATGAAGGAGTTCTGATCTTCTACTAAAGTGATTGGGATAGTAACTAGATGCCTTTTGAAAATTCTGTTATTCAATTTTTACTATAATTGAAAGAGAACTCTTAGCAAAGAAAAGTTAAAGATGGAATGTCCATTTGTTAACCAAAGGAAGTACCCTTTCTTTGAATATTATAGGGTTTTATCATGGTAGATGTCCTTTACACACCGGACCAGACCTTGGTTTTCCAAGTAGACATCATCTCTAAGGGTGCATCTCCAAACCTTAAGATTTCTATAGTCCAAGCTTGACTCATTTCCCAGATTTCTTCAGTTATTAGTCAGCTTTCCACTCAGGAGAAACCTCTACCCTAAGACCCTGCTCTCCTGGTTGGTGGCTTCCTCACCTAGACTGCCTTATGAAAAGCCCCAGTCATTCTCATTATACTTTTTGCTTAACTCTAGACCATAGAACCTTACCCTGTAAGGTTATCTTCCATCTACTCTGCATGTACTACTTATTTACCTGTTAAGTCTTCCATTAGAATGTAAACTTCTGGAAGTTTTGCCTTTAGTTTTTCCCCATCACCTAGCATATTCCTGACATAGTAAACACAATAAAATACTTGATTTTTTAAGAAAATTCATTATAGGGGCAGCTAGGTGGCGCAGTGCATAGAGCACCGGCCCTGAAGTCAGGAGGACCTGAGTTCAAATCCGGTCTCAGACCAAACACTTGACACTCACTAGCTGTGTGACCCTGGGCAAGTCACTTAACCCCAATTGCCTAAAAAGAAAAAAAAGAAAATTCATTATAAAAGATGACTTGCTAAGGAACAGAGGAATGAGTGATATGTTTGGAAATGAAGCTGAAGAAAAAAAGATAAAGCTTTTTAAAAAGGAATATGAATATATGAAAATTCTGAGATATGACTAACAGACTTTTTAGTATCTGTGGGGTACTATTTTAAGGTGGGATTTTCACAGTAGTTATTAAATACCACAGTGTTTGCAAAGCCTAATTTGACTACGCAAGAAGTTCACCCTGCATTCAAGCACTTGAAATGGGAGGTAGTAAGCATTACTATTTGCTTTCCTCCTTAATTCCTGCAAACTTTACATTTGGTATCTCAGTTGTACTTCTAATTTACAAGTTTCTATAAAATATACTTTAAGCACTTACATATGCAGACACTAAAGTTTCTTTCCTGTGTTGCAATTTTTTCTTCTCTACCAGACTTGGATTTCTCTTGTTTCATTGATTTTTTTCACTGATTCTTCTAGACTTTAAATTAAAAGACTAGATTCACTTATATATAAGTAAGTACACAGACATTCTTAATAATGTTTGCAAAGTTGACCATATATAGGGGGAGTAGTATTTTAAAATTATTTAGAATATACTTGTGCTTAAAATAACTAAGCATCTCACTTTTTAACAAATTAGGCATTATTGTAATTACTAATGAATTGGGCTTAGGACACGTATCACCCTCACATATTTTTATAAACATCTTTGACAAGTCATGCTGGAGCCAGAAATGTTTTAAAATACAACTAAATAGTTAAGAATAATTGCTTTAAAGAAGTATTGATTTATTTGTAACTAATTTATAATATGCCATCTGACTTATAACAGGTCATCTTTTGAGATGATAGAAAAAAGTTGAGCATGGGTCCGGTGAACCCATGTGTAAAGAAAATTTGCAATATTGGAACCAACATAATTTACCTACTGGAGGTACTCAGACAAAAACTTTGACAAAGACAGAGAAGTACTATGAGGAAACATGAAGGGATGATATTCTTAAGTATATAGCATTTATCAAGGATTTAAGGGACCTGGGATTTCTCTTTTACACAAAGCCTGAAATTTCCTCATGTATAAAATGAATATAATAGCAGTTCTAGTTTTGTAAGCTGTAGCAAAAATTAAATAAATTAATCATATGAAACAACCAGAGCTTTGGAGAAAGATTTGTGGAAGAAGCCATTTTCTCTGAAAAGTACTTTGAAAAGAATGCATTTGACCAAAGAGTTAGAGATTTGCTTAAAGCAAGTTAAGAGTTACCAAAAGCACTTTTATCAGGATAGCTTTAGCTCTTTGTTGTAGCTGGGATGCCAGAAAGTTGAGTCATAATTATGCGGCTCTCCATTAAAGAAGACTCACTTCCATGTCTCCTCCCTCCAAGCCAAACAATTGTGTTTACTCACATAAACTTTAGTGTTAAGATGAGGTAGTAAATTCTAGGCCAGAGACAGCCTTGAGATCTTTGGTAGATATTCATTCCATGATCACCAGTCAGTTGCCTAAGCGCTGAGGAAAAAATTAAGGATCCTGACTTGTGCTCTTCTTGATTCTGGGGCCATTTTTAAATCTCCAAAAAGTGAGCAGAGGAGAGAAGATGAAACAAATTTCATTTTCTTTCATTGGCAGTTCTGTTCAGAGATTTGATAGGTGAATGCTATCAAATTTGAATGCTGAAGAGTTTTAATATGTTGCCTGGAATGAAACTTTAGGTGTAGCTCATCCATTTTAGATTGACTGAACAAAACTACTAGCATTATATGTAGTTGGTTAACATCTACCATTTGTTTGTTTCATGAAAAGAAATGTGTATCAGAGATCAGAGATGTGACAGAAAGAAATGTTCTCATCATCTATTGAGATGATCTGGATAGGTTGACTACCAGTGGATGTGAGCAAATTAAACCATGTAGTAGTAAATACAACATTAAGACATCACCAAACAAAAATGTATGCATAAGATGCAAAAGAATTAACTTTGTAGACTTAAACATTGACTAGGAAATTAACATGCAATGGTGAAAACTGCTTAAGGAGACTACCATATACACATATACTCTTCTAGAATAAGTTCAACCATTTTAATGAGGCAGATCATTTTTTAAAATTATGAATGAAAGACCATCTTACAATAGCTCAAAGTAATGAATAACTTCCTCTCAATCTTAATTTAAACCAAAGCTATGAATGAAAGGCCTGGTTCTTTAAACTAGTAACAACCTCTTCTGTAAGGTCATTTATAGGCGTTACTCTTCTGTGAATCATCACAGTAGCTCCTGAGCACTCCTACAAGAAGTAGCTGCTTATTATTTTTCAACTAAACAGCAGTAGCCAGAGCCAGGGACAGATTTTAGCTTCATCCTTGCCAGGTGCCTAGAATAATACCTTAACTACATCCTACTCAATAATGACTTGTAGGATAAGATCTTGAAGATAGGCAGCAACAGTGATAAGTGAAAACCTTCCAAAAGAGACCTGTGAGTAAATAACTGGACCACAGAAAAGAAAGTCCACTGTTTTGTATTGTCATTACAAATAGACTCCATCTGGGCTGCTCACCTTGTCTTCAGTTATCCAACCTACTTTAAATAAAAAGATGGACATCCTTTACAATTATGCTTCCTTAGACACCCAAACTGCCATGATTTTCTTAGATCAAAATAATTTTTGTTTCTCCTGGCAAAGTCACTCACTTTTTAGACAGTGCCTTTTAAATACATTTGTATTAGAACAAAATAATGCAGTTGTTTTTTACAACTTTGTGAAGTAGGTTGACATTTTATTACAACTTCACAGCTGAAGTAAAGGAAAAACTGACGAGTTTCACATCAGAGCTCATTTGTATCAAAATGAGATTATTTATTTGTTCATTAGTGAAATTCCTTAAGCACCTGGAGACCTCTGTTATATATTTAGACATACCCAAATCAGAAATAAGAGAAAAGAGTGAGGCAGGAATTCGAAAAGAGATGGTACGAGAGGAAATGAGGAAGGCCAAGTGATATGCAAGTAGGGAAACATAAAATTCCAACAAATATCTAAAAACCCCAGAAAAAGATCCCAACCAGAATTCTATCAGTTGCTGTATTCCAGACATAGAACTCACCGTTCCTGTATCCAAACTCCATTGCTCTGTCTCCTCAGCTCACCTTCCTCCAGTGTCTAGGATTCAAAAGAGGTGAAATAAAAGAAGGAAAGAAAAGCTAACGCGTTGGATGAAACAAGCTACATAAGTATTACTTACTAGCGTAATAAATAATGAACAGAATAATAAATATTCCATTGGAAGTAAAACACAGATGCTCACTGTTACTGGGTAATGTTTATAGCATTTTTCATTTGCAGAAGCTATCATCATTAAGTCATTTTTTTTTCTCTAAGACCTGTGAAGTGGATGCATTTATTATAGTTGGGTAATATTTCTATAGAATGTAGATTACATTCAAATAACAGTGTGTTGGAATTACTTTTATTTTACCTTTCCCACATCTATGCAAGTCTCCTATTTAAACAAACAATATTTGCCTAAGACCATCTGTTCCTTCTATTAGAGTCAGAGTCTGAGGTAGAATGCTGAATTGTAGCCTCAATCATGGTTTATGCAGACTCTGTCAAGATAGTATTTTTCCTGAAGGATTATTTCAGATTTAGGAACTGATGAAGAGAAGGGGAAGGTTTTACATACAAATTGATACCTAAAAGCATCCTTCTGAAGGTAGTGATTATGGAAAAATCAATTCATTCCTCCCTGACCCCCGTTTAAAAATGTTGCTATTTTTCAAAGAAATTCCCTTTGATGAGAAAATGTTGTGTGATGGACAGATGGCTCTCAACATGTTTTCTATTTTAATGATTGTTTTAATTAGGTAAACTTAACAAAAAACAGTACTATTATATCTCTACAACCAAGCAGGTTAGAACTACTTGTTTAAGATACCACAAAGCAGTGTGTTGAGTGTTGCAGGTAGGAAATTTAGTGTGATAATTCTTTACTAAGTGAGTGCTCCGATCTTTATTACTTATGAATAAATGTTCTTATATGAAAGAGTCCCAGCTAAAATCCTACTTTCTACAAAAAGCCTCTCCAAATCGCCCTTGATTCAAGTACCTTCCCTCTATTGATTTTGTCCAGTTTATCCTGTATATATCTTGTTTGGACACAAGCTGGGTGATGCAGTGGACAGAGGGCTAGGCCTGGAGTCTGTAAGATCTGAGTTCAAATGAGTTAGACATTTGCCAGCCTTATGATCCTAGGCAAGTCACTTAACCTCTATTTGCAGTTTACTCTTGTGTAAAATGGGGATAACAATAGCAACTACCTCCCAGGGTTGTCGTAAGAATCAAATGAGGTAGTACTTGTAGAGCACTTAGCACGATGCCTGGCACATAGTAGGCACTATAGAAGTGTTGACTATTATTATTATGTTGTTGTCCGTCCCATTAGACTGTGAATGAGATCCTTGAGAGCAGGCACTGTCTTTCACCTTTGAGGCAGCTAGATGGCACAGTGGATAGAGTGCTGGGCCTGGAAGGAAGAATACCTGATTTCAAATCTGGCCTCAGATACTTATTAGATGCTGGGCAAGTCATTTAACCTCTGGTTTTTGCCCCAGTTTTCTCAAATGTAAAATAGGAATGATAACACCACCTACCTCACAGTGTTGTTGTGAGGATCAAGTGAAAGAATATTGGTAAAGTATTTAGCATAGTATGACATACAATAGGTGCTATATAAATGCTTACTCCTTACCCGTTCCCACCCCATCTTTGTCTCCCCAGCATTTAGCACAGTGCCTGGCACATAGGTGCTTAGTAAAGGCTTATTGGGGGGGGGGGGCTAGGCAGTGGGCAGCTAGTAAGTGTCAGTGGTCTGAGACTGGTTTTGAACTCAGGTCCTCCTGACTCCAGAGCTGGTGCTCTATCCACTGCACCACCTAGCTGCCCCTTAATAAATGCTCACTGACTAGTTTTCAGAGGGGTAAAATGACCTAAATTTAGGCAGAATTAAGAATGGAATGGAAGGATATAGTTGGGTTCCAGAAATCACTGAAACATCTGAAATCTTAATGGTCAAAGACCAAGGAGAAAACTAAGGAGTATGGTTCTAAGTTAAAGCCAGAAAATATTGGTTAAAAACCTGACTCTTATATTTATTAGCTGTGAACCTCCAAAGCCTCATTTCCCTCATCTATAAAAATAAGCAGGTTGAACTGTCTGGTCTCTAACATGCAGGGGTGTGTTGGAGCCAGCACATACACTGCTCAGTTTTTAGCATTTACACTTCAGAAATCAGCAAACTGTTCATCAAGGCTTGATTTATAGTTTTGTTGATTCTCCAGAATTAAAGTGGGATAGAGAAAGTGTTAATAACGCAGATCACATTTAAAAGTGTTGTGTTTACATCCACCACCACCACCCCCAACACCTCCAGAGTGCTAGTTGTTAAACATTTACCAACATACTTCTGCGCTCTGTGATCCTATGACCTCACAGGGCTGTTTTGGAAAAATTGCTTTATAAAAAAAGCTCTATATGGGTTTTTATTAATAGCATAACTGATATGATACAGCCCTTCAATGAACTAATCCTGCCTTCAAAACCCAGTCAAGTGCTATAAGACTCTGATTGACTTACTAGTAGGGTTCCAGGGTTAGATCAAGAATGAATGAAGTAAAGGAACTCTGATGATTCAGCCCTGACAGCTGAATGACAGAAAGCAGATGAGGTCCTCTCCACAACACTCCTTCAAACAGACATAGAAAATGCATCAGACTGAATCCTAATGGAGAAATACAGAAAATGTTACACTGAATCATTTGCCTAGCCCAGGTTGACATAGGGAGACAGAGAGGTCTACAGACACTGAGGACAGGGTCAGGCCAGGGATACTCTAGCACCCAGGAATACAGTGTGCACCAGTGCAAGATGAAAGCCCAGATCTCTCTTAGGGTACCCCAAGACCTAGGCAGCTACGTGATGTGGTGGATAGAGCATCGGGCCTGGAGATAGGAAGATCAGAGTTCAAATCCAGTCCCAGACACTAGCTGTATGACCCTGGACAAGTCACCCCCTCTTTCAGTTCCTCATCTGTAAAACAGGGACACACTAGAGAAGGAAATGGCAAACTACTCCAGGATCAGAGCCAAGAGAACCTTATGAAGAAAGTCCATGGGTTCACGAAGAGTTGGACACAACTGAACAACTGAACAACCCTGAGACTGATGCCAGGGTATTACAAAGGGAACAGGTGCTACCTGGCAGCTTTGCCACCTTTACCTATACTTACATTAAAGAAAAGCGACTTCATAAGTACAAGATTGGGGAGGCATGGCTAGTCAGCATTTCCTTTTAAAATAACTGCCATATGGGGCAGCTAGGTGGGACAATGGATAGAGCACCTGGAGTCAGGAGGACCTGTGTTCAAATCTGGCCTCAGATACTTGACACTTATTAGCTGTGTGACCCTGGGCAAGTCACTTAACCCCACTGCCTAGCAAAAAATAAATAATTAACTGCCATTTTAGTGGATTACAAGGTCAATATGAATCAAAAATGTACCATGGCAACCAAAAAAGTGAATGCAATCTTGGGGTGCATTAATAGGTATATTGTTCCTATAGGTTGTTCTGGTCAGTGTTTTCAATTCTGAGGACTACATTTTAGGAGGCATATGGACAAGTTAACATCCAGAGGAGATCATGCTATAGGAAGATCATCTGAAAGAAATGGGAACACTATAGGAACTGAACTAAATTTTGAGCTTCTCCCCAGAGATCAAGGTAGTGGTAGAGAAAAGAGTCTGCCCTACAGGTATTGGTGAAAATGTTTGTATTTTGTTCTTGCTGTATCTTTGAAACAGATGTTAAATGGTTGAGTGGATCTGGGATGGTCATCATGAGCTTCCTAACCAAATGAGAACACAGCCAGTAAGGACTCAAGCTGACGGTAGTGGACAAAGAGCCTTCCTAAGCCTGTCAGGACACCCTGGAACCCCGAGGGGCAGATGTGTCAGATCCGGCCTTTCAAGAGTGGGCCCAGCAATGGGGTATAGAAATCTATCCTGCCCTACAGAAAAACTGAAGAGGAAAGGGATAAGAGAAGGGGCGGGGGGAGAGACAGAAGGGAAGGCAGATTAGGGGGAAAGGGTGTTCAGAATGCATGCTGTCTTGAGGTTGGGGGAGGGATGAGATGGGGAAAAAATTTGGAACTCAATCTTGTGGAAGTGAATGTTGAAAACTAAAAATAAATTAATGAGTCTTAAAAAAAATAAAATAAAATAAACTATCATGAAAAGAGTGGGCCCAGAGTATACACACTACATAAGGAACAATGTACATCTTGAAGTAGCCATTTGTTGAAGGAGAGAGATCACTGGACTTGGCTTCTGGAAGCCTTGAAGTCAAATGCTGCCTCGGAGGTGGATCAGCAGTGTGACCCTGGGCAACTCAATTAATTCCTTTGGGTTTCACTTTCTTAATCTGTAAAATGAGGACAAAAACACCACCCACCTCCCAGGATTCAATAAGATAATACTTTGTAAATCTAATACTGAAAAGCACTTTGCAAATCTAATATGAGCTATTATTATGTTTATAAGAGCTATTTATAATTTCAGTAGGCTGCCTGGGGACTTTGTGGCTTCTCCTTTACTTGGGATTTTGGGGGGAAAAAAGCTAGATATCGGCAGTTGTTAGACTAGCACAATAAGAGCATTCTTAGGTTTTTAAGGCAGAGGACCTGGGCTCACATTTGGCACTTATTACAAAAGCAAATCACCTATCTGGGCTTCAGTTTCCTCATCTGTAAATAGTGGGAGTTGAACTAGAAGACCTCTAAGCACCTTTCTAGTTATTTTAAAAATAAATTCCTATTGATGTCTTTCACTTTTTACATCATTATAGTTATCTTTAGTATTCCTCTCTTATCCCATATACAAAAAATAGTATTTTTTTTATTGCAAACCTTTTTTTTTTTTGGCTAGGCAATGGGGTTAAGTGACTTGCCCAGGGTCACACAGCTAGTAAGTGTTATGTGTCTGAGGCAGGATTTGAACTCAGGTCCTCCTGAATCCAGGGTGCTTCTATCACTGTGCCACCTAGCTGCCCCAATAGTATTTTTTTAAAGAAAAAAAATAAGTACAATTGAGCAATATAATGAAAAAGTCTAAAAACATATGCAACAGTAACAACCTGTAGACTTGTCAACTCTACAGAGGGTCAGTTTGGGGGTGTCCTCTCCTATCTCTTCATTCAAGTCATGCTCTTTATAATTTTGTTACATTAACTTTTGATTTTTTTGATGTGTGGTTCTTTTCATTTATATTACTGTAGTTATTGTATATATTGTTTTCTTGGCTCTGCTTACTTTACTCTGTATCAGTTCATGTAGGTCTTTCCATGCTTCTCTGTATTCATCACATACATCATTTCTTACAGCACAGTAGTATTCCATTACATTTATGTGCCACAATTTAATTAGTTATTCCCCAATAGACATTACTATATTTCCAATTCTTTGCTATCACAAAAAGTGGCTGCTATAAATATTTTGGTATATATAGAGACTTTCTTTTTATCAATGGCTTCCTTGGGATATAAGCCTAAAGCCTAGTAAGGGTCTTTGGTTTAAAGGGTATGGTCATTTTAGTCAGTTTATTTTCATAATTCCAAATGGCTTTCCAAAATGGTTGTATGGGATGTTAATAGAGGGCTAGCCCTTCTAGTGTGAGAGCTTGCCTAGCTCTTTTCAGGGCTGCTCATCCACCTTTAGTGTCTAATCAGTCACTCAGCTCTCACCTGTCTCTCCAAGAAGCTGCAGCATGTGCAATGGCCAAACTCTTGTAAAACCATTTCAGCGGATGGGCTAAACAAGGTTGAGAGTAATCAACCAGCCCCAAACCCGCTGGTGAGTTAGGGAGATGAACATGAAAACTGCTCTCCCCCTCTCCCCAGCATAATGGGCAGATGAGAATTTCTTCCAGTAGTCACGAAGGTGTCTGAAGCAGGTGCTGTAGAGTGCTTAGAACTTGGTTAGACATCAAAGATGCCAAGTTCCAGGGAGCTTAAGGCACTCTAACTCACACAGAGTATGATTTGAACTCAGATGCCAAGGTCCTCTACTGTATCCCAGGCCATCACCAGTTGTCCTGATTTTTGTCTTGCCACTGGACTTCTTTGACTCTGAAAGAGTCTGATGACTTTGTGTAACTCTGCCTCACTTAAATCCAATTCACATGCAAGTAAAGACATCACCCTGTGATGTCACTGGTCCTCTTCAAAAAAACAAACAAACAAGGGGCAGCTAGGTGGCACAGTGGATAGAGCACTGGCCCTGAAGTCAGAGGACCTGAGTTCAAACGCGGCCTCAGACCAAACTCTTCACACTTACTAGCTGTGTGACCCTGGGCAAGTCACTTAACCCCAACTGCCTTAAAAAAAAAATTTCACAGCTCCGCCAACCATGTATTAGTGTATCTATCATTCCACAACCCTGCCAACATTAAGTATTAATTTTTTTGTCATCCTTCCAATTTGGGTGTGAGGTAAAACCTCAGGGTTGTTTTGATTTGCATTTCTCTTATTATCAGTGACTCAGATTATTCTTAAAGGTGATTGTGAATATTTTGCAATCATTTTGATAATTATTTGTTCATATCCTTTGACCACTTATTAATTGGGAAATTGCTATTAGTCTTATCTATATTTATTGAATATTAAACTTTTGTCAGATAAATTTAATACACTTTTTTCTTATTTGACCACTTCTCTCCTTATCCTAAATTTTGTGCTGAAGCCTTTCAGTTTCATGTCATCACAGTGAACTGTTTTATCTTTTATAACTGCCTGTATTATATTTAGCTACAAACACATCTCTGAACTATGAGAAGCATATAATTTGCTTCTCTTCTAATTTTTTTATACTATGGCTTTTCATATTAAGATCATGTATCCATTTAGATTGTATTGTTTAAAGTGTTAATTTAAGCCTAATTTCTGCCCAGCTCCTTTCCCATTTCCCCAGCACTTTTTATCAAATAAGCAGTTTTTTCTTAATTAATTTATGTTTTCCACTCCATCAAACACTGAGTCCTTCCATTTCTAAGTCAACAGACCTGGTAAGAGTCTATGACTCTGAGGGCCTGCACACCACCTCAAGAGAGAATATCAGAATCCCTAACTCCTCTAGGAAGACTTAAGAGTTGGAGCTACAAAAAGGAACCTTGGGGGTCCTAGGCCCATAGTTCTGGGGCATTGGTTTGAGGTTAAGGCATTCTCATCATCAGTGGAAGGATGTCAAACTGTACCATGAATATACAGCTTCTTCTTTCCCCTCATCAACTTCACATGTCCCTGACACTTTGCAAAAGTTAGTATTTAGGTTTATATCTTAACAGCCTTAGGCATAACTTAAAGGCACACCTTTCTTCTTTTTCTTCTTTTTCTTTACTTTTCTAGTACTGACATTGAATAGCTGCTATGTGGCAAAGGACCAGTTTCAGATCTGAAGTTCTACATCTATCTTTCAATGTCATAAAAGACCAGAGGGATACTTCACATGCTCTTATCTCCTGCATGTTACTTTCTCCCCTATTCTGTGCCAGCCTGACAATGAAGTTACAAGACAAACTCATCATTCAAGACATTCCCATAATAAGTAATCCCATTTTGTCTATCAAATTTTCTCATGTCAAGTCCATGAATATTTATTTTTCCATTCTAAACCATTGTAATGTTTCCTTGGAACATAAAATACTTCACATTCCTTAGCACCTAAGAACAAATAAGCAACTAAGAATGAGGTTCTTAATGTTTTTGTGTCATGGACCCCTCTGGCAGATTGGTCAAGCCTATAGACCCCTTCTCAGAATAATGTTTTTAAAAACATAAAATAAAATAAATATAGTTACAAAGGAAACCAATTATATTGAAATGCAATTAATAGTGTACTTTCCAGAGA